ATTTAAGTGCAGTAGTTTATCACAATCTGCTTTGATTTAGAGATTAGTGTACAGATATCAAAGCCAAATGATGTTCTTAAAAGTTTATTTCTTGTCTTTCCTAAATGTTATAGTCCATTTATTGAGATTCCAGAAAAAATGGTTGAAGGTTCTTAATTTTTTTTGTTTTCTAGCTGTCTGAAGTATATAGATGCCTTCCTCCACCCCACCTCTTTCTGTGCCTACATGGTCAACTTTGTGTAGAAGGGTGATTCCCTATTTCACACAAAATCTAGGTTTGAATCTAATAAATATTTCAAGTTACAAAAATCCTTTTAGATAACACGTTTAGGAGTTCAGAGTGAAAGAAAAACATGCAGTGTGCATGTATTAATGAAAGTAAATGTCATGACAATATGACTCTCACTTTAGATAGTTATCAGACACAATAGAAAACAATTTAATGAATCACTTCCTAACCAAATGAGGTTTACTGAGAAAGCTCAACCTGTGTCATCCGTCACTGCTGTTTCTGCAATAAGACAACTTTGCTTCATATCAATGCAACCTCTTACCAACATACCTTTGTTAGACAGTTTCTGTAGCATTGTAAAAAAAAAAAAAAAAAATCACCATTTATTTTATAGTAATGCAGAACTTATTTATAATTAAGTCATAAATTACTGGTTTTTCCAAATGTTTTATTTTGCTGTACTGTTTTTGCCCAAAGTGATATTCCCATGACTGTATGATAGGCTACAGTACAACCCTTCTAGAAAACTACCTGTCTGATTATCAGTTTGACAACTGATACCGCCTTTAAGTTTGATTAAATAAAAATTAATTGAAAAGGGTAAAAATTATATGCAATATGCAATCTTAAATTTTCCTATTTTCCAGTATGTATTAAAATAAAAGAGGTAAATGAAACCATATAAATAATTTGGTGCAATAATCCACATGCAAACATTGTGGCAGCAGTAGATATAACGATAAATCATTTTACTTTTAACTTCCAAGGATTTATATTCATTCTATTTTAATGTTATATACAAATACAAAGATATCTTGAAATTTAGCAATATTTCTCAATGTTGAAAACTGCAAGTACATCTTTTTTAGATTTCACATAAAGCAGAAGATAGTTTAACAGACTTTGAAGCCTCTAAAATTTTGACAAATTTGGCTAAAACATTTGGTGAACTAAACTTCTCAGAATCTTTTCAAGACCTTTAAATAGACCTAAGAATTGACAAAATAATGACTGTAACAAAGGCCCTTTTATTGTTAATGGCTGATCAGTGGAACTTGAGCTTGTGTCCTGGGGCGATGTGAAAACATTCCTCCTGTTTAACAGTGTCCAATTATACCATTTCTTGGAAGGATTAAAGGAACCTGTAGACGTGTTTTCTTTTTCCTTTTTAAGAAAATATAGAATAAAGGGCAACATTTAAACATAGTAACAAAGTAATAGACTACTGTTTGTGTTTAGGTACACTTATCCATTTGTATCTACATTTTTTTGTTTATTTATTTTACTTTTATTTAACCAGGAAAGTCCTGTTAGAATTTAAAACCTCTTTTTCAATGAACGCACATATGTTATTTAAAGGTATATAAAGTGAGTAATTCCCATGCAGTCAATCTCAAGTATAATTTTCCCTCTTTGCATAGTGATAGAAAAAAGTTAATTATGTACATTAGTAGAGTGTCTACAGAGCATACAAAATATCATAGTTAATTAACACTAAATGGATTATTTTTGCTCAGCCTAAATATACTTTTTTTATGTTATCAGAGGGTGCAAATTTGTTCTTAAGTGTCCAGTGCAATTATACTGTCTTGGATTTTCTCTATTTTATCTAAAACACCTGATGCTTAGTGAGCTCAAGTACACTTTGTGAGTACCTCCTCTTTGATTTGTCCAAAGTGGCAAATTGTTCAGAGAGGATTTGCCGTAATAGAAGAATCTCTCTCGGTGTGAGCTGTGTGCAATTTTGCTATTGACAAAATGGGCCTTGAGTGTTAAGGAACTCAGCTGAATGATTTTTACAAAATCCATTATCCCGCTACTCTTGCTGCAGTGTCACAACGGCTTTAGATTCTTGGCAGACAACACAGCACTCATTGCTATTTCCTCAATTCGCATTTAATTGCAAGAACCTTTTTTTTTCCCAGTTTCCAGTCTTTCTAAAAGAATGAGGGACAGTGTGGTGTAGTAAATATTATATAACAGTCAGATATTTTTTAAAGAATAGCTTTTCATTTAAGATAAGCATTTCCAATATATATATATATATATATATATATATATATATATATATTCCATATATATATATATAGTAAAAAAAAAAAAAACAATTAGTCAGCCACAGTGTCGGTCCGTTTCTCCTCATTGGCTCTTTAATCCACCAAACTGACTGATTTTCAACTGAAAATGTAACTTTATTGTGATCAACACACACACACGTAAAAAAAAGTCAAAAGCATGCACTTGTTCCATTAAATAAAAACATCTACTGATGGATAGATTGCATAATCTATCTTTTTCATTATATCTTTTTTTGTTTTACACTCCTTAAAATACCTAAATGAAATCTGTAGAAATGGGAAGCAGTTGATAATCCCTTAAAGAAAACTTGAAATCTGTGTCGGCAAGCAAAAGTCTTAATTGGTACAGCTCTGATAAAGACACATAAACAGTATGTTTGTCTTTGAACCGTTAATGTATTGAAAATCCATGTAAAATAGCAATACCTTTGTTTTAAATATTGGGATATTTTTTAAACTATTTTATTTAGTCACTTTCAAGTAGGGTTTTCAGATGATATTTGATCACCTTGTTCACAGCAAGCTTATTGCCTCAGGACTTTTTTTCCCCTTCAGTCATTAGCTTGGATGGTTGACAACCATGTGTAGCACAGCACAGATCTCTTTGACTAAAACCTTGTAAATTAACACAATTAGTGCAGCATCATCCTGCTAATTAGCTGCTGGTGTCTAGTGTGGCTGGTTGGCAAATGGCTGGGAGGAAATCAGAAGGGAATTCACAGAGAAACTGCGATTATAGTCTGCCTCTGGACACTAGCTGTTTTTCAGTTTGCATCCTGTGATATCTGCTTTACCCACTGACGTATAAATTATAGCGGTGTAATGTCAGCAAAACAAAGAAAGGCACATGGCTGCACCATCTTCTCTCATGTTACTGAGTTTATCTTATACAGCTTAATTCTGATGAGAGATACACAAGGCTCACTATTTAAAGTTGTTTTGAGTATTAATCTTCTTTGGACTTCATACTGAGAGGGTCCAGAGGATTTCTTCATCATCCCAGAATAAAGAAGCACAGTTAGACAAAGATTTGTATTTGCAGATTAACTTTAGGATTTAACTTGATTATTTCTGTCATTCAAACCCTTTAAGGCCTCACAGAGAAGATGAGTGAAGCTGCGGAGAAAAAGACAAGTGAAGCATGTTTTTCTTTTTCCCCCTCCTTACTCTGTCGGGTGGGAAGCAGCGAGCAGACGCGATGTGGATGTAATACATGCTGGGCTGAGGGCTTTGTGTGATGAAAGCAACAGAGCGCTGCCAAGGAAGATTGCTTTGCTGCTCTCCTCCAAGCAGATCTGAAACTGTCTCAGAATGCCTCAGATGAGAGTTGGATTATAGACTGACCTACAATGTCTGTGTCACTCTGCTCTGCATTGGGTAGATTATTCCATGGTAACCAGGTGTTGGGTCCAATATCCGACTGCTGACCATCTAGCTAGTCTTCCGTAGAGTTAGCTTTTTTCATTTCATATACTCCAATACCTCTTATTGTTAAATATTTTAAATATTGGAAAATATAATTTTTTTTTTTATCATTTTCTTATCAGTACATACTTATATTGATAATTAAAAGACCTATTAAATATCTAAACAATTGTAGCTGGCTTTGATTAGAAAAAATAATATAATCCAACCAAGCCCAAAATAAAAAAAATCACACAGCTTTAGATTTTTGATCTTTTTCATATAAGCAACATTTTACCTTTCAAATGATCAAAAGAAAAATCTGAAATTTCTTATGATTGCTGGTCAGTTATGTTAGATATTCCCATTGTCCTTGATTTTGACCTCCAAGTCTGGTTAGAATGCCTCTTTATCATTACTGTAATTGTTAGTTCCCTGTTGAGATTATTAGATTTAAATCAGAACTCTGAGCAAGCCACCCTAAAATCTTTGATATTACTTTCAGTGAGAAAAAAAACGGTGACCAAGTTGAACTACTACCAAGTTGAATAAAAATGATTTTGTACAGTAAAATGCTCAACAAAAAAGGTGCCCAATCAGGATGTTTAATATATATATATATATATATATATATATATATATATATATATATATATATATATATATATATATATATATATATAAATATATATATATATATATATATATATATATATATATATATATATATATATATATATTTTTTTTTTTTTTTTTTTTTCTGAATTTTTGTGCTGTTCTACTTGTTATTATATTTCAATCTATTTATAATTGCCAGTTTTCTCCTATTACCCAAAAATGATATTGTATTCTTATGGCTATATTTGCAGAATAAAAATGATGCAGTAATGTCAGACCTCAAACAACACAGGATTACAAGTTCATTACCATCTTTAAACAAAACACTTATTCAAAGAGTTCAGAAATTAGTTTTTGGTTGAATTTAACAGACATAAATGAGACAGTGGTCTCTATATGAGCTGTACCTAATTGTGTAAATCTATTGATCAGTATTAAAATAACAAAGATGAAACTCCAACAAATGTAATAACTGCAGGTCTTGAATAATGGTTTTTTTTGTGTTATGAGTTAAAAACATTTTGGTTATATAATAGATATTAGGTTTAATATTTTGTTTAATAAATAATTATTTATGGTATTTTTTTTTTTACATTTGAATCTCTGGCTATTGTTAAATAAATAAAGACATAAACTTTAACATATTTCATCCTTTTCCTACTGTCTAGGTCTAAAGATGCAGTGGACCCCGGAGCACACACAATGGGCAGAACAACACTTTGACATCTCATCTACTACCCGCTCTCCAGCTCACAAAGTGGAGGCCTACAGGGGGCACTTACAGCGAACATACCAGTATGCGTGGGCAAACGATGACATCTCTGCGCTGACTGCCTCCAATCTGCTCAAGAAATATGCAGAAAAGTACTCTGGGATCCTAGAAGGCCCAAATGAAAGAGCCCTGCTGTGCTCCTACTCGGATAGCACCAGTGGACTCGTGAATGGAAGAAAGTCGGAGAATGAGTCCTGGCAGGAGGGGATTTACCCAATGAACTGTGCTCCAGATGTTATATCTGTGAGCAAAGCTGGAATGACAGCAGCCCTCCCCCCTACAGACGTGTCTGCGAGCATAGGAAGCTCTCCAGGGGTGGCAAGCAGCTTGTCTGAGCCTAGCTACTCCAGCAGTAACTGTGGGAGTCACCCAGCCACCACTCTTCACTCGGGCCTCCCCTCTCAGGAATATAATGCCAGTTACAATGGCTCTTACCTGCATTCTAGCTACAGTAGCCAGAGCACCCCAGCCCTCCCCTCCCCTCACCCCTCTCCTCTGCAAAGTGCTGGGCTCCTACAACCACCACCACCTCCGCCTACTTTAGTGCCAAGCTACAATGCTGGATCTCCTAACCTTCCCAACTATAGTTATCCTCCAACAGGGTATGCTTCACAGACCGCTGCGTGTCCTGGTTATAGCCCTGGGGGAGCACCACCACCCTCGGCTTATCTGCCATCTGGTATTGCAGCACCCACTCCAATACCTCCTTCCACTCTGCCCGGTTATACCTACCAGTCTCATAGTCACACACCAATCACACCTACACCTTTAAATGGTAGCTCATCTAACTCATTAAAACGGAAAGCTTTCTACATGAGCGGACATGGAGATGTGGACACAAGCTACGCTAATTTCAGCTACAACCAACAGCGTTCCTCACAGAGCCCTATGTACAGAGTAGCAGACACCAGCATCTCCGACTCAAACAGGGGCACTGGCTTTGAAAGAAACACAGAGCCATCATCTTTAGCTTTTAAACCAACAAAACAGCAAATTTCCTCTGATCAGCAAAGAAAATTTAACTTGCACTCCAGCAGAGCACTGACTCCTCCATCTTATGGATCAACCAAAAACTCTGCAGGAGATCTAAGAACTGGGGAGCCATACAGCAAATTCGGGTCTCCAATCATGGGCGAGCAAACTGAAGAGCACAGACAGCACATCCCCCACTCCCTTTCAGGGCCTGATATAGGAACGGCTACCTCATCCATCCAGGCTGCAGAGGAACAACTTAAGAACAGTGATTCCAGTCTGGTAGAATTGGTTAACACCGAAATCCTTCAGCAGGGTTCTCCGGTAGACTGGACTGACATTGCAGGTCTAGATATGGCCAAAGCAACTATTAAAGAGGAAATACTGTGGCCTATTTTGAGACCTGACATGTTTAGCGGACTTGCCACATTACCGCGGAGCCTGCTCTTATTTGGACCTCAGGGAACTGGCAAATCACTGCTGGCTCGCTGCATGGCCAGCCAGCTGGGGGCTGCTTTTTTGCGGCTGAGTGGCTCAGCACTGGTCACAAAGTGGCTTGGAGAAGGGGACAAGATCATCCAAGCTTCTTTCCTTGTAGCACGCTGTCGTCAACCAGCAGTAGTCCTAATCAGTGATGTGGACCTGCTGCTGTCTGCCCAACTAACCGAAGAGAGCCCAGTAAATCACCTAAAGGCTGAGCTACTCATCCAGCTCGATGGTATTCTGACCTCTGCAGAGGACCACGTTCTTGTGGTCTGCTCCACAAGTAAGCCAGAAGAGATCCCTGACACCCTACGGAGGTACTTTACGAGGCGTTTGCTCATCCCTTTGCCTGATGGGAGTGCACGCCATCAGATAATCAGCCAACTTCTCTCACAGCACAACTATTGTCTCAGTGACAAAGAAATATCATTACTCGTTCAAAGGACAGAGGGATTTTCAGGGCTGGATGTAGTCCAGCTGTGTCAAGAGGCTATGGTTGGCTCTCTTCATGGCATTCCTGGGGCTGAACATCCCAGCATCCATCCCAGTCAGATTAGACCTGTCGCATACCAAGACTTTGAAAATATATTTTGCAAATTCCAGCCTAGCATATCACAGAAAGAGCTAGATGTATACACCGAGTGGAATAAAATGTTTGGTTGTAGTCAGTAAAGGGGACCAAATGGACACAATTTCCTTACTTTACTGTGTTAAGTATAAATAAAAAGTTTGGTCTTTTTTAAACAACAAAAAAACAGTGGTGACATCAACATTTTATGTAGAGCTTTGGACACAATCTGGACATCATACAATGCTACATCCATGCTCAAAACTAACTTCAAAGGGATGTCCCACTTTTTTGTATATAGATATATACAAATATATATAGGTATAATGCTGATTTTGAGATTTAGTTGCAATCAAGTGCCTGAGATGGTGCTGTTTAAGTTTTTTTTTTGCCTCACAATCTTCATTGGTGATACGTGCTAATATAAAAACAAGCTTTACAATGTGAAAAAAACCTTTTCTATTACAGCAGTGTTGTTCAGCTGTGTCTGTTTTGTGATCTCTGTAAAATGTTGTGGTTAATTTCAGCTGAATTAAATTAATTGGCAGAATTTCCCTTGAGCCTCATTTCCTGGCACAGGTTTCATGTGTGCATGTAGGTTATTTAATTATAGTAAAACTGTCACATATATATTTTACATTTATTTGTTTTCATTGCCTTCTAGAGTTACATTTAATCAATGTACTGGGCTTGTTTGGGTTGGTCTACATACAAAACATTACAAGGTGGTATCAATTGATGTTGAAGTATTGACACCAGGGGTAAGTTTGTGTAAAAAGCTTTAAAATAAATTCATATTTAACTGCAGTAGCTAAATAACCATCCTGAAATATTTAGAAAAGCTCAGCATATATTTTCAGTACATTATTTAAGGACTAAAAATACTTTTCTTTTTAAAAAAACATCAACACCGCTTTTATAGATGCCCTTGCGTTTTTAACCTTTTAAACCTCTTTTGCCAAAAGAAAAAGACCTAGGGCCTGATCTTTGCATGTATTCAAAACTTGTAAGCACTTGCAAAACTGATCTTAGCACAAGGCTGCATAGCAATTTGCGTGTGCAAAAAAACAGTGGGCAGAGACTTACTTTCTTTTTTCTGCATTGGAAAATTTATGGAGGATAATAGTCAATTGATATACTTACCATTGGCGAAGCGATGTATTACAACTAAACAGGATTGAGGGTAAAGTTTTTGCATCTATGTTTAACATGCTTTTAAGTCAGTTGCAAACTCATGCAAAATTGTTTGTTTTAGTGCCGACAAGAGAGACATTGGTACAGTGCCAGTTGATGGAGATTGTGGGCATTTGCGAACATATTGGATGGCAAGAAACAAAATATTTGTTGGTAAAAAATGTCTGGCCTGGCAAGCTCAAATTAATTAAAAAGGAATACTAGGTTTATGCAATTACACCAAAGTGAAAAACACCATGACTGTACTTGAATATTGTAGCATCTTTATAAAAAAGCAAAAGAATATTAAGAGTAACCAAATAACAAAAATCACAGGTTCTGTAAAGAGACAAAGAGAGGGAACTTAAAAATGTGCATACTAACTTGTGGTAGGGGGGAATTTTTCCCCCACTCATTGTTCTTTTAGAGGTTCCTTGCAAAAACATTCATTTCACTTTTTTAGAACATTGAATGAATTAAATTACTGGCCTGCTCTATTTGGCAATATTCGGGGTAAAGTGGGTGTTTTGATTTGTTTGTCGAGGTAAATCCAAGTGATTTTAAAGCGTATATCACTGTAAACCTGACCCTAGCTCCTTCTTGGTCCTAGGGCTTTGGAGGAAGGAAGTGAAATGTTCTTACTTTTAATATTTTTATAATTTTTCTAACTTTATATGTCACAATTTGAGATATGTATATATATATATAGTTATTTCCTTTTTTTTAATAACCATTGTTAACTCCATTATTGCCACCCTCAAACTGCTAGTCGCACACAACTTAACCTGTTTACATGTTTTTTACTTTGCCCATGCAGTCTTTGTAAATCACAAGCAACATGCATATGCATTTTTTTTTGTCCAGCCAATTCAGTGCTCCTTACAGTATTTGGATTTCTTTGAAGGTCAGGCCCTAAGTCTTCTCCAGGGCCAATTATTACAGAGTGCTGTGTCCTCTCTTCTAGAGTTCTCTGTTCTCCTCTCTTCAGGTCTGATGTATATAAAAAAAAAAGGTTGATGAAGGGCAAAATAAATAATTTGGAAAAGAATATGTTGGATCAAAGACATCAGACCACATCAAAATTCTATTCAAGCAGTTATCTGCTTTCAGGGATATCAGACACTTACCCCTAACCTTTGAAAAAGAATAGCATGAGACGCTCCACCACACTCAACAGTGGGGATGTTGTGGTGACGTCGTATGTATTTATTTTTTGTTTTGTCAAAGATACATTGCTATCAGCCAGTGCTCTATTTATTCAGGTCAGACACAGCAAGCTAAGCACCTTGTTATTGTGTACGTTTTTAAGCTTGGGTTTCTGCACATGCTCCAATATCTTTCCAATTCTGAGCATTGAATTTGAGGAATTGATCTCTGTGTCATGTCCTATTTAAAATCAAAGTCATGAATTACTTATTAAAGCCTCCTAAACTCCTTTAAAATGACTCAATTAGATGAAGTATATTTTAGTAGAATTTTTAAGGGACACAAATTATTGCAAACAATATGATTATATCACAATATATTTTTGAAACAGTTTTGTTAAAACATGCTATTGCAGTATGCGGTGAAATTATTTTAAGGCTTTTTGCACATTACTAAATTTGGCAGATGCTTTTAGTTGCAAAGTTATTCCTAAAACATATCCCTGCAGTCATTTATTAGACAAGTTATCCATAAATTCTTTTTCCTATTTGAAATCTCAGGAATGTGTTTGTGATATACACTTTACAAGCTTGTAGTACAACACTATGCATGACAAACATTGGGTTTACTGTACGTTTAAAACTGTATCATTAAACACATTAGGATTTTTAAAAAGGTCAAAACATAAGGGATTCTGTAGTGATTAGATAATGGTTTATTTTCAAACTTAAAAATCAATTTGTTTATAATATTGAACCTTTTTATATATAACTTGGTACAACTAATGGCTTGCCTCATTGTGTTGGGATAGTATCACAGTGTCGGCATATATAGTGGGGGATTATACATTTACTTTTTAATCAAGTTTTTTTGTAATTCAATGCTGGCAACAAAGTCGGAAACCTTAATTTACAGGAAAATAAACCACCAATCTTGTTATTTAGACCCCAGTTTATAGATTGATGGGTTCATTTTGTGCCAAGAAATTTAATAAGTTCAAACAAATATCTTAAGATTGAGAGACAATTGACCACCCCAGTACCCCCCATTGGCAGTTTATGATTTATTAAACCCCAAGGCTTATGTACAGTGTAAGTTTTGTTGTGTTACCTTGTTGCATTTATCTTTTAAAGATGAATTCACCATTACATCTTAATGTCACAACTTTTCCATCTTGTTTTATAATGATGCTAAATGAACAGAAACAGGATTTTGTGTTTAATCTATCCTTTATATTTTTCTAAGTTTTTCACCACATGATGCACTTAAAGGGCAATACCACTGACGATGAAACAGTCTGCCTTTGCCTTTGGACAAGTTTTTTTTTTTTTTTAATCAGCTTATATTCAGTGCCACATTTCATTGCTGTACCTTGTTTGAACCCTGAATCTGCAATGTCAAGTGGAGATGTTTCAGAAACCTGAGTGTTTCTGTGCGTGCATACTTTCTGTCCTATGGTATTTCAATAGAAGTTTACACAAAAGTGTTTTTATTATATCTCAAAGTCATTAATTTAGTTGCATTTCTTATATTCTAATCCTACATATTATTTGTATGGAATACAACTTTTTTCCAGTTACTTTAAACTGTTGCTGTGTTTTTACACTGTTTGCTGCCAATATCTTGCTAAATTTCCATAGTACATTTCCAACAATGTATGAGTCAGTCTTAGAGTTTAATTGGCAACTTAAAATATTGAATGTATTATATTGTGAGCAGAGCACTTGCACACTGAACCATGCCAGATAAGAGGAGAGCACTGACAGGGTATTTGTACAGAAACTGCAGATTAACAAGCTTTTTTTTTTTTTTTTTTTAAAGAAGGTCACTTAATACAATACTTCTTGATGCTTTATCACATATTATTTTAAATCAAAAATTTAGCATTGTATGATTGTTTGGAACTAATAACTTTTCAAGGTCTGGACATTTGAGGAGTTTCCAAGACAATAGCACACAGAAAGTTGTTAATTTATCCAGAGTGATACTTGACTCTATTTTTCCATTATGTGTAATTCTTTGTTTGTACTCAAGTTCTAATATGTTTGCTGCATTATGGTCAGAACTGCACAACGGTTGGTGATTTGTGGAATGATTATTATTAGTTTAAACATGTAGAGACATATGTGTGGGAACCGAGTGCCTATACTGTATGTGTGTAAAAGGGTAATTAATTTGAAAGTCCTTTCTATCATCCATTGGATAATATCCCATGGCACCAATTTAACGATCAAAGCTGGTTTGTTTGTTGTTGTTTTTTATGTAAAGGTTAACTGTTGTTAATATGAAACTGGAACCAAAGTGAAACGGTTTCTCTGGCTCACCAGTTCATCAGTGTGCATCCACATTGCCACTTTGCCCCACTATCTACTACCATACAAACTTAAACCATAGTGAATCTGTTTTGTAATAATTTGGGGTTTTTCCTAAATCATTAAGAAAAGTTTTTTTTTAAATTGCTAGTCTCCATATAAATGGAAATTGAGTTGTAATTATTTGAATGATTTTATTTGTTTTATTATATTTCCAACTATTTTGGCTCTAATTCCCTTTTCAGCAATCTGACTTTCAGAAAGCAAGATCAAGTACAACTCCCTGTTTGTAGCTACTGTATAACGAATTTATGTATTCACTTTTCCTGATAAGATTCAGACTATGTGATAAGAATAAGGTGCCACGGCTCAAATGCAAAGGTTTTAAAAAAAATGTATGACTTGAAAATCACAAATTGTAATGGATTACTGTAGTGGAGATGGATGGACCCAAAGACAACCCGCAAACAGGTCAGTGAAACGTTAACAGTCTTTATTTAAGAGAGAGGGCGGCACGGACTCCCGGGAAGAACGATCAGGCTCAGCGACAGGCAGCTCCTATAGACAGAGTGGTGGTTAGTGACCAGTGGGGGCAGGCAGATGTTTGAGTAAGGAACTTGGTCACTAACCTGGCTACAAGAAGGCTCGGTTGGGCTCAGTCCGGTTTCAGGAGAGGAGAGAGTCCGTGCTGGGGAAATCCTAGGTTCGGTCCGGGTCTTGACGAGGGGGGAGTCCGTAAATCCAGCAAAGGTATCCAAGGGGGAATCCAGGGGAAGTTCCGAGTCCAAATCCAGTTCAATATCCACAGAAGCAAACACAGTTCAAAGGGGCAGGCAATCTCGGTAACTCACAGGCAGGCTGGGTCAGAAACACGGTTTGGCAGTCCAGATCTCTGAGGCTGACGAGCAGGGCTCAGGCGGGCAGACAAAAATCCAGAAAGGGGGTAAGGCAGGCTCAAAAAACTGGGACAAAAACAGGTCGAGGTTCAGACAGGCAGATGCACGTAAAGAATAGGCTGGAAGTTCTCACCAAGAGGCTTGAGACGTTCTGGCACTGGAGGCAGGAGGGACAGAGCTTTTAAGCAGGAGGGGAGGAGAGAGAACAGGTGCACTGATTGCAATTAGCAGCTCCAGAGCCAGGAACATTACAGAGCCCCACCCTCAAGGGCGGATTCCAGACGCCCTAGGCTGGTCCGGGTGGGCCCTGTGGAAATCCCTAATAAGGGATTTGTCCAAGATGTGGCGGGCAGGAACCCACTGACGCTCTTCGGGCCCATAGCCCTCCCAATCAACGAGGTACTGGGTACCACGACCCCACTTACGGGACTTCAGGAGCCTCCTAACAGAGTAAACCGGGGAGCCATCAACCAGGCGGGCGGGCGGTGGGGGCGTGGAGGAGGGAACCAAACTGGAGGTTTTGACAGGTTTGACCCGGGAGACATGAAAAGTGGGATGGACCTTCATGGTGGGAGGGAGGCGGAGGCGTACTGCCACCGGGTTGACCACCTTGGAGACGGTGAACGGTCCGACGAACCGCGGAGCCAACTTCCTATTGTCGACCTTCAGGGGAAGGTCCCTGGTGGAAAGCCAGACCCTGTCTCCCACCTGGTACTGCGGGGCTGGAACTCGCCGGAGGTTAGCTGCACGGACCTGATTTTGGGAGGCCGCGTGTATGGCTCTCTTGGCCCGCCTCCAGGCACGCCGGCACCTCATGGCAGAAAGGCGGGCAGAGGGGACCCTGGACTCTACCTCCTCAGTAGTGAACACCGGCGGCTGGAACCCGTAAACGACGTAGAAGGGGGAGAGACCTGTAGAGCTGGAAGGGGTGGCGTTAATCGCGTGCTCGACCCAGGGCAAATTCAGAGCCCATTTAGAGGGATCAGACTGGCAAAAGAGGCGAATCTTGGTCTCGACCTCCTGATTCATCCTTTCAGATTGGCCGTCAGTTTGGGGGTGGAAGCCGGAGGAGAGGTTAACGGAGATGCCGAGCATGGCACAAAACTCCTGCCAATAACGGGCCACAAACTGGGGACCCCGATCTGACACAATGTCAGAAGGCAGGCCATGTAACCTAAACACCTCCTTGGCCAGGATCAACCCCATCTCTTTGGCTGAGGGGAGCTTGGGTAAAGGGACCAAATGGACCATTTTGGAGAAACGGTCCACAATTGTGAGGATAACTGAGAAGCCGTCGGAGGAGGGGAGACCAGTGATGAAGTCCATAGAAAGGCTGGACCAAGGCCGAGAAGGGATGGGCAGAGGTCGAAGCAGACCTGACGGAGGGCGACGGGAAGCCTTAGCCTGATTGCAGGGGGAACAGGCAGAGACGAACTCACCGACGTCTTTGGCCAGAGAAGGCCACCAAAACTGAGATCGGATGAGCCGAATGGTTTTGTTGATGCCAGGATGACCATAAAGGCGAGAGCTGTGACAGAGATCAACGACTTTGGGTCTGAGGTGGAGAGGGACAAAGAGCCTGTCCTTGGGACAGGCCTCGGGTATCTGTACAGACCCTAGAGAGTCCCTTACCTCCTTCTCGAGCCCGAGGCGGGAAACAGCACACCTTACTGTGTCTGGCAGGATGAACCCCCGTTCTTGGTCGTCGTCTACCTCCTCTGCCTCGAAGAGCCTGGACAAGGCGTCGGGCTTGATGTTCTTAGGACCCGGCCTGTAGGAAAGGGTGAAGTTGAAACGACTGAAAAACAAAGCCCACCTGGCCTGTCTGGGGTTTAGTCTCCTAGCAGTCTTGAGATATTCCAGGTTGCGGTGGTCAGTCCAGACCAAGAATGGAAGCTTGGAGCCCTCGAGCCAGTGCCTCCACTCCTCGAGAGCCAACTTAACCGCCAAGAGCTCCCGGTTGCCCACATCATAATTCTGCTCTGATTTTGACAACTTCCTGGAAAAGAAAGCACAAGGGTGAATGCGGCCATCACCGGACTCTTGGCTAAGTACAGCCCCTACCCCAGAACTAGAGGCATCTACCTCCACGATGAATTGCCTCTCCGGGTCGGGGGAAACGAGGATAGGTGCGGAGGTGAACCGTTCCTTAAGGCGTTTGAAGGCGATTTCTGCCTGCTCGTTCCAAATAAATTTGGCCTTGCTAGAGGTGAGAGCGTGGAGTGGAGAAGCGACCTGACTGTAGTTGGTAATAAACCTCCTGTAGAAATTAGCGAACCCCAGAAACCTCTGGAGCTGCTTACGGTCAACCGGGGTGGGCCACTCGGTGACCGCTCGAACCTTAACTGGGTCCATGGCAATTTGTCCAGGGGACAAAACAAAGCCGAGGAAGGAGGTTGATTCTGTGTGGAAAGCACATTTCTCTGCTTTGACGTATAGCTGATTCTGTAGGAGGCGGAGAAGGACGGAACGGACGTGTTGTTTGTGAAGGGTGAGGTTCTTGGAATAGATGAGGATGTCGTCCAGATAAACAAACACGAAGCGGCCAATCATGTCCCTGAGAACCTCGTTAACCAGATTTTGGAAAACTGCTGGGGCGTTGGTAAGACCAAAGGGCATGACCAAATACTCATAATGGCCGGTAGGAGTATTGAAAGCGGTCTTCCATTCATCACCCTCCCTAATACGGACCAAATGGTAGGCATTACGAAGGTCCAACTTAGTGAAAACTTTAGCCCCTTGGACCTGATCAAACGCCGTGTTCATTAGGGGGATAGGGTAACGGTTCTTCACCGAAATGTTATTAAGCCCCCTATAATCAATGCAGGGACGAAGGGAGCCATCCTTCTTCCCGACAAAGAAAAACCCTGCCCCTGCAGGGGAGGAAGAGGGGCGGATGATGCCCGCACTTAGGGAGTCATTAATGTAGTCCTGCATGGCTTGGGTCTCAGGAGGGGAAAGAGAATAGAGGCGACCTCTAGGTGGGGTGGTGCCTGGTAACAGATCAATCGCACAGTCAAAAGGACGATGAGGAGGGAGACTCGTGGCCTTGGATTTGTTAAAAACCTCCCTCAAGTCATGGTAAACAGATGGGACCTTGGACAAATCTGGGTAATAATCATTAGTCTTACCCTCAGCGGAGTGAAGAGGCTGGGCGGAGAACAGACATAATTCAGAACAGGAAGGAGCCCATCCCGTCACCTCGACCCGTCGCCAGTCAATCTGGGGATTGTGTTTACGGAGCCAGGTGGCGCCCAAGATAACAGGAACCTGCGGGGAGTCAATTATCATAAAAGTCAGCATCTCCTTATGATTACCTCCCATCGTTAGCTCCACAGGTTCAGAGACGAGGCGTGACTGGTTGAGTTCGTGACCATCCAGGGCGAGCACACTGCGGGGGGATGAGCCAGGGTGGAGTGGGATACTCAATCTTCTGGCCAAACCTTCATCCATGAACTCAGTGTCGGCTCCTGAGTCGATGAAAACTGACAAACTATGGGATTCAGAGGAGAAGGTTAGAGTGGCTGGAAGTAAACGATCAGAGGAGACGGCCAGTTTGGTGTAGCTCAGTAGGGATCCCCCACCCCCTACTGAGCCTTGTCTTTTGCTGGACAAGACCGAGCTCGATGGCCATCCCCCCCGCAATAGAGACAGAGTCCCTGCTGCTGTCTGCGCTGGTACTCATCTCTTGACAGGCCCACCTTGCCCAGCTGCATAGGTTCAGGTTCAGAGGGCTTAAGAGAAACCGGAGATGAAACAGGGGGGGAGCCGAGAACCGAGGATGGGTTGTGGGGTTAGAGCGACGTTCCCTTCTTCGCTCCATTAGACGGAGGTCTACCCTAGTGGCAAGCTCCTCGAGCTGACTTAGGGTCTTAGGGTAATCCCGGGTGGCCAGCTCATCCTTAATCTTGTCATTAAGACCATGAATAAAAACATCCATGAGGGCATATTCATTCCATAAACTCTCTGCAGCCAGTAAATGGAAATCAATAATATAATCAGCCACTGATCTATCCCCCTGTCTAAGAGATAAGAGCCCCCTAGAGGACTCCCGGCAGGGGAGCACGGGACTGAACACCCTCACAAGCTCTTTGGAGAAGTCATCATACGAGTGGCAGATGTGTGTATCATTCTGCCACTCGGAGGTTCCCCACAGTCTGGCTTTACCAGCCAACAGGGAAATAACATAGGCGACCCTAGACCGGTCAGTGGGGAAGGAGGATGGCTGCAGCTCGAAATGTATCTCACACTGTGTGAGAAAAGCCCGACAATGCTCCGGATCGCCACTAAAAAGCCCAGGCGGAGAGAGACGGGGCTCTGACGGAAATGACGTCACCGGAAGTGACGGGGGACTCGGAGGAGCTGCTTGCGGAAGTGGAGGCTGTGGGGTAGCCTGGTTTCGGAGATGATTGAGGATCTCCGAAACGCCGGCTTCTAAGTCAGAAATAGACTTTTCTACCCCCGCGCGCCACTGATCCCCGGGTGCCGGGTCCATGTTTTCCATTCTTTTGGCCA